GAATTATGTCCTCTAGGGGACGTGGACATAAAGGGACGTAAATTTTATATGCTAAATACTTTAGGGACCCATCTTTACATCAGATCATTATGGTGTGATAAATAACAGACCGAATATTCCAACACCTAGGCCAATTTCCCCTATGATTAAACAAGAATACGATGAGATTGAAGATATCTATAATTTATATGGGAATATTTAGATTAGCAGTTATTAATCGTCAAATGTGATATCATTCTTACTCTGTAAGTCACTATCGAATAAATCATAGGTTTCTATTTTTTTATACAATGTAATATACAATGTCCAGCTCCTTCATCAATACAACAATGATTTCTACAACAATCTAGTTTATTTAGTATATATTTTTTATAATAACTTCCTAAATCAGGGTCGTGGAATAATTTACTACATTCTCGACATTTATCAAAGTAATCTAGAAATTTATTATTATTGAGTTTTTTTACTAATTTTTTTATATAATGGAATTCACTTGTTTTTCCATAATCTCTAGATATATCATTATCTGAATTGAGGTACTTCACTGAAAAATTAATTCCGGTATCTTTCATTGCTTTAAAATCAAAAATTTGATCCATATTGTATTTGTGAAAACTTGAGAATTCAATATAATAATAAATTAATTGTTTAAATATCAAAACTTTGTGAGATTTCATATCTATGATTAAGATTAATCACGCTTCGTTGCTTTCACCACATCTACAATAAAATCTTTATTATCATATCAGAGGTAGTCACTCACTCACTTCATAGCTAGAGGATTCAGAGTCAGACCCAGATGAAGACGAGGATGAAGTTGCAGTATCACTAAAAATTATCTTTTTTTTAACCTTATATGGTGTACGATTTCTCCGAGAAATATTGGGGTTTGTTATCACGTTTATAATATCTTGCTGAATTTCGGGTTTCACTATCTCTAATAATTGATGAAAAGAGATCCAGATTTTTTTACCTGATACTTGCTTAACAATATCAAATATCACTTTATCAGTAATATTGAATAAACTTTTATCTTTTTCGAAACCCAATTTTTTCACAATCTCATAGGTAATAATTGAACATTCTGAATCCGAGTCACAAACTACTTCTATATCCTTACCATTGATCAATATTGATAATCTTTTCACTGATTCTATTAGCGATGCAATTATATTATTATTCTCTTGTAAATTCTGATGAGCCGGTCCAATATTGCTATTAGCTTCAGTCATTGTAAATGTGAAATTATTATTTATTAATATGCTATAAAAAATATAATTATATATATTAATAAACGATACAATGATGACTTTATCCTGCAAAATCAATAAAGTATCAGTAACAGTTATACTAAATTCCAGTGCTAATTGTAATATTATAGGTGAGAGTATAGCAAAAATAGTAGGCTTGAAAATCGACAATACATCTGATATAGAAATATACGGTCCCATTAGTGAGCTCAATATATTGGAAATAATTTGTGCAATGAAAATTTTGGTCCTGTTTAAAGATTGGAAATGGAAGCAAGTAAAAGTTACTGAAGTTTTCATTACCAATAAACCTGAACTTTAATCTGTACTGATATTGGGTCAGCCATGGTTCCAGGAAAGTGCAATGAAAGTGGACTTCCCAAATAAAACTCTTACATTGCTCGATGGAACTGATATACAATTAGTTATCGAACCAAAAATTCCATCAACACAACTCAATCAGTCTGTAGATGATTACTTCAAGATGATAAAGGTATATGCTATAGCATTGGATATCAACTTAGATAATCAAGACCTTAAGGGAACTTTCTTTAATGGCCTATCACAAGATAATAAAAAAGAAGTAATTCGATTCGGGTTTAAAAATTCTCTGAATGAAATAGTTGACCACTTAAATAAGATCTCAACCGGACCTACTGATATTCAGAAATTCCGATTTGGGGGTTTGGAGCAAGGAAATGATTCAGTAATGGAGTATTTTGCAAAAGTAAAAAAATGTAATGACTCACTTGGATATGATGAAGAACATCTTAAACATCAATTCCTTCGTGGATTAAATTCTGATAACCATATGGAAGCCAGAAGATGTGGATTGGACCTTCCATTAGATGAGTTAGTAGAAAGGCTGAGCACTTTGGAGAATATTGAGAAAATTCAAAGTGGTATATAATATCTACGATATTTGCTACTAAAAATTAATTATCCAAACATTAGCTTTTTTTTCGATTAAAGATATATAATATACATTTTTGAGAATGACGCAACTATTGCAGAGCAGGCCATTAGGCAATTCAAAGAAACATAACCCAAAGGGTCTAAATATTTTTGATTTACCGGAATTACTAGAACAGATCTTATATTTTTTAGAAATCGATCGATCCCTCTATCCTGCTTTATTTGTTAATCGGCTTTGATACAAGTGTGGTATACCGCTACTATGGAGGAGAGTTGAGTTAAAAGGTAATGATATTCATCACAGACATTATTTCCCAGTTGAATATAACTATTGTGAACGATATCGAATGCGGTTAGAAAGTTTCATAAAATTAATATGCGAGAAGAAAAAATCAATTTACATTTCAAAGCTGAAAAACTTAAAAATTTCACATTATCATTCAATTACACACAAATTGATTAGATCTATCGTAAATTACTATCCAAATATAATTCATTTAGACTTTAAAAATAGCGTGGGTATTAGTGATAAGACATTAATTAAAATAACTTCTTCATATCCGAATTTAAAACACCTTAATTTATGGGATAATCAAATGATATCTGATAAAGGGTTATGTGAGATTGCGCAAACATGTAATAAATTAGAATATCTAAATATTTCTTACTGTAGAAGTATTACCGATAAATCATTAATGACAATTGCGGAATCGTGTCGTAATTTGAGAGAGTTTTATTTTAATGAAGCGCATTGGATTACTGATAGAACTGTAAGTTGTATTTTAAACTTATGCTCTAATTTACAATGCTTAGGTATATCGGCTAGTCGTGGAAAAATCAAAGATGCTGATATGTTAATACAAGCACATCTCAAAATAGAGTATCTCGATTTCGCCGGGGTTATGGCTTTTCGAAACGATTTTCTTATTGTAGCTATTATCAGGTCTTCTCCAAATTTAAAACATTTCAATATTTCCCATAATGATGTCGGCGATGAGGTTGTTGAGGCACTAGCTCATACATGCCACGAAATAGAATATCTTGATCTTGGAGGGTGTGATTTCATTACCGAACCATCGATATGCAATGTTATTCGTTCTTGTCCTAAACTTCAGCATCTTAAACTTGGATTTTGTGACATTTCCGATAAAACAATTGAAGAAATAGCCCGTTCGTGTCCTAATTTAAAATATCTTGATGTGAATAGTTGTGAAAATATTAGTGAAAAGGTAGTAAAACGACTCAATCCAAGTATACATATTGAAAATTACGATTCATCATATGAACAGTCTGATTCTGGATCGTCTGATACTTCTGATTCTGACCCCAATGACAACATACAGAGTGAGAATACACATTCACTTATTCCAGATCCATTAAGGGTATCTCGAAGCGTTATCTTTACCGGTGGACCTAATAGAATGATTTCAACTAATACATTAAATTTAACAGATCTTATTTCTGCAATTAGAGTATCATCAGAATTTACTGATTTAGAACGAATTAATTTATTAAATAGTCTTGCTCAAGCCATGAGTGTAACTCGCCCCTACGGGCCTGATCAAGGACTACATCGATCGTGGCAAGGGCTTTAGGCAGATAATTAATTATCCAAACATTAGTTATTTCTGGTATAATCTCATATATTTATTGTATAACAATGGCACTTCGTGCCTACACGAAATCTTTATTTAACCAATGATCAAGCCTCAAAGAGGCACCCTAAAGGGCATGATATATTTATATCGAAAAATTGATACAATTCGTGATTATGTGAATTATTTACATATTATGACTTAGAGAGTCACCCTATAGGTCTGCTTTGCAATAAATTAGCACTATGAAAAGGTTATTTCTTGTACCGAGCAGTTAATCCTTCCTTTGCGCGCTTTACATCTTTAAACGAAAGAGATAAAAATCAGACCTTATTATAGATTAAAGCAATGACCTCTTCGAAATAGGTGCTAAATAATCACACATACATATATTCGTTCTTTTATGATTTTTTGGTTTCGCCACGTTATCTCGAGAACCTAGCGTCGGAGGAAGATATTTTGGTGATGGTTCATCCCCGTCGCTATTATTATCCCAGTCTAAGTCGTAATCGGCGAAAAGAGAACCGAATTTCCATTTTTGCTTGATCACGGTATTATGGATATAAAAAACGATGCTGTGGCAAACTCCAGCGATGACCGGGAGATTTCCATGAACCAGGAGGTTTGACCGAAAAGCCACCGCTTGCCCTTGCTTAACATGGACGATTAATTTTAATTCCGGAAATGCCAGCTCCCCACCTTCGAAATTCCCAAGTGGACACACCACGCAAAGCGTATTTCGGTGATCTTTCAAATCGCGGTGAAATTGGCAGATAATATTATAATTGATGCCGACGGTGGGGAAAGCTCCGAATAATTTTGGAATGTTTGGTCCGAGATCAAGGTTTTTCATTTTAAGATATAAGGCTGGGTAAGTGGTTTCTAGATACTTATTAACTGCGTCAGAAAACGGTTGGATGCCTTTTATTAAATCCTGGACGCATTTTTGGTACTCTTCATGGTGAGAGGATGCGGTATTTGCTGTGATATACGGAAGGTTGTTGCTATCTGCAAATCCACCGAAATGTTCGATCAAGTCCTTTGCAAATTGTTTTGACTGGTGTGAAGGATGGGCGATTGTGTGTTGGTAGTATTGATCCACCGCTATTCGAGCACCACTCGTGGTTATTTGATCACCAAGATCGAAAAAATCCACGATAGTTTCTCCAAAGGAATTCCTAAAACACTGTGAATCAGAAATGTGGTAATATCCTCCAAGTTTGTTCCCGCTTATAACATCTTTCGTTGTATCGTCCGCGATATAGAGTTTGTCTTTTGGATTTCAGAGAAATATCTCATTGATTTTATAACTTTCAAGTGACTTGTTCTGGGCTTTATGTTGATATACATTTAGTGTTCGAGTCCAAAGAAGACGGCAATGTCGACGAAGTTGTAGGATGTAATTCGGACCGATTTTGAAACACGCCCAAAGTGCGAACTCTTTCCACGATGATTTTGACCGTTCCAGCTCTGATGATGTCGAAGGATCTCTGCAATTGAAAACTTCTGATTCCAATAAATCCATAAATTTCGCAGGAAATTCGAAGGAAATCGGAACCGGCTGAGTACAATATGGTGCTAGGGATTTCATGCTATCATTATTACTATCATTATATATGTTTTTTTCAATAACGTCCGAAATTATGTCGAGATGGTAGGTAGAAAGCACACAAAAATCGAGTGTATACGTATCTAGTTTTATAGTATTTAGTGGAAGCAACCCCTGGTTAAATAACTCCCGAACAACTAGTCTTTGCCGTCTTTTTTCGATGAATTTTTCCTGAAAGGTAAGCCGAGGATCCATATAGACTGCTGATTGCTCGTTATTACTCGTTCTAAAATCGCTTGCAAGGAAATCCTCCGAAACCCACCAAGATAAAATATATTGCTGTGTATCTTCTTTAGTTAATTTACGCAAATTATTTTTATACTCGACCAATTAAACCCGCCTCACACCTTTTTCACAGTACGTGAATTGTTTCAATATTGGTGGTAACCGTAAGATGTAACCTCGGTTTTTTTTTTCGATTTTCCTTTTTATTTAAAAATCCAACACTCGACGAAAAAAGGAACCATTCATAACATCATTCTGTTATTATCTATACCCATTTCTCCGTATGACTACAGCCCCAAGAGTAATGCCGGAATGCTGAAAGTCGCGGAGATCGATCAAGAGAAAAAAATCGCCAAAAATGGGGAGCGGCGAAAGGAAGAAAAAAGAGAAGGATGACGCCAAGTCATCCATAAATGAAACGGGACCAAGAAAAGTATTCGGCTACAAGATGTCAGCCCTGACGAACATACTGGGGCGCTGACGAGCGATCGTGGAGAAGTTTCAACACCACAACGTGAGAACGAAGCCGCGACGACAAACAGACTGCCTAAAGGAAAGAATATCTGCATATTCAGTTCCGAGAAAATGCGGGATGTTGGATGATGACGAAGAACCCTGGATCGAGGGATGCCGCGACGGAAGAGAAACCATGGACGAGGTCCTAGAAAGAGAAAAGGACCATCTGTAGGAAGAGAACCGAACGGCAACGAAATCAATTGGTACAAAATGAGAACTTACCTGTGAGATTCCGGAAGCTTATGCTAGGGACGCTAATGTTACCGAAGGAAGGGAACCTGTGAACAATGAATCAGACGTCGAGAGCATTGGGAGCAAGGGAAAAGAAAGGTGAGTAAGCCAAGAAGAGAAGTGCCGCGAAACCTGAAGAATGTACCTGAAATCAACCGGACAACGATAAGAAAACGGCCCTGAAGTATGAAAAGACAGAAATGCCATGATATCAAGACCATTAGAATGAACAAAACCGAAAAAAAAAAGAGACAAGAATGAGTTAGAGAAACGACTAACCACCTGGAGTAACCGTGATCAATAAAGCGACTCGCCTTGCGATACAACCGCCCGAAGGATAACCGTTCCAGCTTGAGAAACAAAGAAAGCAAAGAACCAAACCCTAAAGAAAAATACAACGAA